CTAGACACTGTTTACATGTGTAACCTCCTCAAGTTAATTTCTTCACAGCTCTGAGCATCAATCTCCTCAAGTGTGAAATGGCACCCGCCTCTTTGGATTTTTGTGAAGATTAGTAAGATGTGAATAAAGTGCCTGGTCCACAGTAAGCACTCTGCGGGTAGCAGTTAATCGTAATGCTGATACGTAATCAATGTCGCTGATAGTGTTAGTGCTCACCCAATATCCTCTACTCTCCAGCCCCTCTTACAGTTTTGGGCCACAAGACCGGGTCTGGCAATGAGACAGAAGCAGGTATGATGAAAGCTTCAGGGACTCCCAGCCCTTCATCTCCAACACCCTCGGCATAGTTCAAGATGGACCATGAGGCTAGGTGTGGTGGCTGACGCCTATAGTCCCAGCAGTTTGGGAAGCCAAGGCAGGAGGATCGCTTGAGCTCAGGAGTTCAAGACCAGCCTGGGCAACATAGCAAGAACTTTCTCTACAAAAAATAAAATCAGGTGGGTGTGGTGGTACATGTACCAGCTACTTGGGAGGCTAAGGTGGGAGAATTGCTTGAACCCAGGAGGTCGAGGCTGTAGTGCACTGTGGTCACACCACTGTACTCCTGCCTGGACAAGAGAACAAGACCCTGTCTCAAAAATAAAGATGGATCTTGACATGGGCATGAAAGAAACCTTTGCTAGGGTGAGCCACTGAGACTCTGAGATTTATTGGTTACTAAAGCATAGTATATCCCATCTTAACAGAAATATTGTAATAATACTTATAAAGTTTTAAATTATTTATCAGCGGTTTATAAGTAACAAAAAAGTAAACATTAGTCAAATGCCTGTCTGAATTTTCAGATCCCCAGATTGACCATGCTTCACTAGAGTTGCTGATGGTTGATGAGAGCAGCTTCCAAAAACATTAGCAAGAGGCATTCTAATTTATTTCTTATGAAGCATATTTTATCGGTACTCTTAACATATTCATCATGGCCCTCTCTAAATCACAAAATCTTTCAGAAATAGCTCTCAGGTGTAAGCAGTGCTTATTAGTAGGAATACTTTGACCCAAAACTCATGACTCATACAACCCACTCTAGCTGAGTTCCTGGCCGGCACAGGAGCACTGTGCTGCAGGGAGCACACAGTTGGGCTCTGTCCTGCTAAGGCTCACAGCAGCCTAGGACTGAAGATCAAGTCCTAAAAGGAGTGGCAAGAGGTAGGAAGGGTGAGGATGACTGGGTGTGCGACCAGAAGCAGCTCAGCACTGACTCCCAGTTGTTGCCACAGGTCCTATTTCCAACAGCCCTGCCGGAAGTGCTGGAGGCCAACTGCGTGAGTAGTGCAGGGTGGGCCCCTGGTGATGAGTACTGTGCCTACAGTATGACCCGCCAAAACCACTGATGCAGCTTCCCAGGAGAGCCTGGGTTTCCTGTACCTGGCTCTTAGAGTTTGGTACAGGGAATTGTGTGGACATGAGATCTAAGGACAAGACCCAACAAGCCTTTGGCTGGGTTTCTGAGGTAGCTGTTGCCAGAGAATGAAGGAAAGTGATGTTCACCACAGGTTCCTGTTGATAACAATCGTTGCAGTGGCCAGACTAAGAAAATGAACCCTGGCTGCAGACAACTGGCTCTCTGAACCTGGCTCATGCTTGCTTCCCCAGCCCTTGCAAAACCATTGCATTTCCCTCTAGCAAAGGAAGCCAGGCCACAGGAGAGACCTGTGCATTCATGTGGGCATGGGGGCACCAAGTTGTTATTTGTTACAAAGCTATACCTTTTTAAATTCCTACACACTTTGCTAGGTGTTGAGAAGACAGCAATGCAGAAGGGCCTCGTGAATCATGGTAAGGATTCTGGTTCTTGTTGTAAGGGTTAATAGGAGGCCACTGATCAGTTTTAAGCAGGGAAATGACATCAGATTTGCATTTTTAAAAACATTTTTCTGGCTGCTGAATGAGGAAATGTAGGGGTCCCAGAGAGGGTGCAGAGGCCAATGCTTTAGTCCAGATGGGGGCTGCTGGCTTGCATCGTAGCAAAGAAAGTTACAGATTTGACAGTTATTTAGGAGCAAAACTGACTGGATTTTGCAAATGACTGGGGAGTGAAGGAGGTATTGAAGCTACTAACCCTGTCCTTATCAAAGGCATTTCCTCAGTAATAAATACTCCAGTGCTACAGCCTGGAACTTTTCTAGAATCTCTTGCATGGATTCGTTTTCAGAGCTTGAGTGATGCAATCATCAGAGTCACTAAAAGTGAGCTCTTTACACCTTTCTTAAGACCCAAAGAGGCCGGGCACGGTGGCTCACACCTGTAATCCCAGCACTCTGGGAGGCCGAGGCAGATGGATCACGAGGATAAGAGCCTGGCCAAAATGGTGAAACCCTGTCTCTACTAACAATACAAAAATTAGCTGGGCCTGGTGGCAGGAGAATTGCTTGAACCCGGGAGGCAGAGGTTGCAGTGAGCAGAGATCATTCCACTGCACTCCAGCCTGGGTCAAAGAGCTAGACTCCATCTCGAGGAAAAAAAAAAAAACCAAAGAACTACATCTTTCTTTTTGGAAGGGTGGGAGTTGTGTGGCAACAGACAGCAGCAGCTGTTAGGGAGGTGCCATGGTATGCCTGTGGGAGTACAAAGGGAACTGTCTTGGGTCTGATGGGCAGAGTGGGAGTTGGGCCCCCTAATGATTCCTTATGGTAATGCCGGCAATTCTAGTAAAGCGCTGAGCCAAGAATTGGTGGAGAATTACTCTGGTTGTCAGCTGTAGGAACCGGGTCTTGAAGAAAGAGTAAAAATATTCATTCATCCAGAGACCGTTTTAAAACGTGACCCCATGCTGCTGACTGGTGAAAGAAAAGTTTTTCATCCTTTAACACAGTAAAACTTACACTTGTGTATTTAACTGTGTTGCTCACTAGTCATTAAGTTCAGTTTGGATTTAGATTTTTCTGTGACCTATAGATAATACAAAGGCTTAAAGATGGTACGAAATAGGGCCAGGTACGGTGGCTCAAGCCTGTAATCCCAGCACTTTGGGAGGCCGAGGCGGGTGGATCACGAGGTCAAGAGATCGAGACCATCCTGGTCAACATGGTGAAACCCCGTCTCTACTAAAAATACGAAAAATTAGCTGGGCATGGTGGTGCATGCCTGTAATCCCAGCTACTCAGGAGGCTGAGGCAGGAGAATTGCCTGAACCCAGGAGGCGGAGGTTGCGGTGAGCCGAGATCGCGCCATTGCACTCCAGCTGGGTAACAAGAGCGAAACACTATACCAAAAAAAAAAAAAAAAAAAAAAAAAAAAAAAAAAAAAAAAAAAAAAAAAAAAAAAAAAAAAAAAAAGATGGTACGAAATATCAGAGTGAGCATTAAAATACCTCTTGTAATGGACCTCTGAGTTCATGAACCTTCAGTCCTGGGTACCTCCTATCTTGCTGATTTTTCAATGGAAAAAAACATAAGAGAATCACCTTAGGAGAAAGAAGAACTAGCAAACTTAACAGTTTCTAGATCCATAAAATGGCTAAGTTAATAACTAAAACACTTCCTTTTTATGAACTTGGGGAACTATCAATCCAGGCCCTGTCTCAGTCAAGTGCACCTTAAGCCCCAATGAGCAAATGTCAGTTTACTTCTTACTAATGGTAATTCCACTATTTCTCTTGAGTCCTAACTCCAGAATTTAATCAGCAGTATAGTCCAAAAGTCCTCTGTATCAAACCAAACTTCTCCCTTGGCTTCAGTCCAAGACAATGTCATCGTCTTCTATCAATCCCAGAGATACAAACAACCATCATTTCAAGAATCAATCAAATATTTAAAGACAGTTAAGATATTTCTTAGACATCTCTCAGTATGGTCAACCTAAATCTCTAAGGCCCATTTTCCTATCATGAAATTATAGAAAGGTAAAGCTGAAAGGAATTTTAAATTGCATAGTCCTACCCACAGCAACAGATCAGGAAAGCAGGCTACACAGAGAGGTGGAATGAGTCCCACAGGCAGCAACTTGTAGAATGGGCATGATTTAGGTCTCTTGAAGTCTGGTGCCATGTTCCTCCCATCCACACTACACAGTCAACCAATCTGCCTCATTTTTTGTTTCTTCTCTCTGGTCTCCTATAGTCTCTAAAGCAGACAAGATTTTTGGAGTTTTACTCTACAGAAGTATCAGAAGAAAATCCAAAGGAAAAGACCAACGTATATGATTACACATAACTTTGAAACTCTGGTATAAGGTACAACAAAGAGAATTAAGTAACTGCTAACAGCGTGGAAAAATATGTATAACAAAGGATTGGCACTCATTCTATTTTTTTTTTAATATGAAAGACTTCATGAATTTGCATGTCATCCTTGCACTGTGGCCATGCTAATCTCTGTATCGTTCCAATTTTAGGGTTATAAATCAGTAAGACATCAAAATGGATATAAAACAGTAATATACCATTCAGAAAAACAGAAATGAGGATGGCTAAAATACCTTAGGAAAAAAAAATGCTATGAAACAATCAGAAAATTATTTTTTAAAAATCACCTTTCATCTAACTGATTAGGGGAAAAATACTTAAAGACTAAGACTATCTAATGTTGGCCAGAAATGGGCACTTTCATACCCCATTAGACCATTAACTGATGCGGCATTTTACAGAGTAACTTGGCAATACTAGTCAATTTTTTATTCAGATATGGCACTTCTATTACTTTTACAGGAATATGTGCAGATAAATTATACAAACAAGTTTACTGCTATATTTCTTATAATAGCCAAAAACTGCGAACAATCTAATGTCCATCATGGAAAAATGGTTAAGTACATTATGGTATATACCAAGAATCTGAAGTGTAGTCAAAGAATGAGATCTGCAAGTACACATACTTGTATATGTATACAAGGTTAATATACCATAAAATGTCTACAAGGATACCCAGCAAGTTCTTTATACAGAGGTTCCTTCAAGGCAAGGGAATAGGATGGGAAGAAGAGAACTTCAGCATTTTAATCTATATACTTTAATATCTGTGGTCATATTTATTAGATAATTAATTTTTAAAAAGGAAGAGAGAAAATTTTGTTATGCTCAAATATAGCAAAATGGGATATGGGGATGAGCTGGAATGGGCCAGGTTAGGCTGATGAGCTCCTGCAAGTTTTAAGAATTCAAAACAGACCAGATCAAGATGGCTGCTCAACAACTATAAAAGTTTGGATTCCTGAGCACAAAACATTTTAAAATACATGCCTTGATTTTATGGCGGGTTAGGAGATATCTACATGTCATCACCAAACTGATAGCTTATTGTATGTTAAGAAAGAGTAATATTAAAAACCAGACATCTCACTGTTTTCTCTAAGATGAGTACAATATACTTCTTTTGGGTTATGAAATAAAATGAAATAATAACAGCTCTCAGGTTAAATTATCAGATCATCTGCAATAACCAGGAATGAAAGAAACTGCTATTTTCCATTCAGAAAGAAAACAAAAATTCTCAGTAGGAGAGACATGATCTTAGATCATTTGACAATCACTGCATGCATGCATGCATGTGTTTGTGCTGTAAGTCCAGTATAACAATCCTTCCGAGTCTCCAGAGCATGGGTGCAGCCTTTCCCACTCCCCTAACACTGGGCCCCTAGGATCCATCACTACTTTGACTCACCCAGTCATCCATTTGCTATAGTTCTCTTTCAGTGATAGGTGCAAAAAAACATTTTCCCCCTGAGCATTCACTTTCAATTTTATTGAAATGTTCTCAATGTATTTAAAAAAAAAAAAAATGGTTTCCTAAAGTATTTAACTTGCTCCTAAGATAACCTGTGTCTTATGCTTCCCTATCTTCAATGTCTAGCTCAGTGACTGCACACAGTATATGCTCAATAAATGACAGTTAATACATCATCCTCTAGAAAAAGGTGTCACTTCCCTAACAGAGTTCCACTGAATGACTCTTTCCTGGTTTCTCATACAATCAGGCTGTTATTTCACTCATATTAAAAAATGAAACTGTGCTTTAGCTAACACTACTGTACCAACTTAGCTGTACTGTTGATTTCCTAGTTTTGATAAATATACCATAGTTACATTAAACATCTGGGGAAGCTGGATGAAGGATACAGAGGAACCCTGTCTTTGCAACTCTTCTGTAAATCTAAAATTATTTCAAAGCAAAAGTTTAAAAAACAAAACAACTCCATGAGTACAATAAATGTTCTCTTGACCCTACTTCACTTTTCAGCTACCATTCCATCTTTTTTCTTCTCTTTATAGTAAATCTTTATTACGTATATTCATTATAATTTCTTTCCTCTGAATTGCTCCTAAGCCTACTTCAGTGTTTTCTCTCCCACCATACATCTTATAAAGATCACCAATGACCATCCAGTTGCCAAATCAATGGCTACTCAATGATCTCTCATCAGAACTCATCTTTCCTGTCCTAACAGCAGCATGACACAGCTAGCCAATCCATCCTCTATGAAACACTGTATTCATGAGGCTCCTTAACACCACACTCTATTAGAGCACTTTTTGCACCTATTAAGAGTTCCAAACCTCATCAACCATCATGACTTAATGTGAACCACTGTGACACAGCGGGGGCGACCTAAAACCAGCAAACCAGCTAAACATCAAAAAAAAAAAAAAAGACTTCAAAGAATAAAAAAAACAAAATGTATAAAAAGCCATGCATTTAGAATGATACTTTAAGGCACCAACTCATAGTATTGCTAAATGATAAATAAAAGGAAAGAAATCAAGCATTGATCCTGCCTTTTCTTTACAGACTCATTTCAGGGAATCAAAGCTGATGAAGGAAAGTTCTATATGGAAGAATAACACAAATAGATAATCAATCCTTAATGAAAAAATAGCTATTAGCAACGATCAACGGCTGCTAAAACAATTAGGTGGAAGTTTGATGAAGACCATTACATTGGATGAATCAGGCTGACAAACGCTGAAACCACTGATCCATCTTAACAGCATTAAAAGTGGGACAGACATTATATGCCTTGTATGATACAGTAGGATGTACATCACTTTACAATATAGGCTTGCAAAAAAAATCTTGAATCTGAATATAAACGAGTTCTAGATCTAATTGCCAGTTTACATGAAATAGAGAGGAGAGAGAATCAAGCAATACCCCGAGGATACAGTAGGCCAGGTTCAAAATGTGGGAAAGCCTACAGAACAAATGAGTCAGTTTCTTTAACAAATGAATCATGGGGGAGAAAATGTCCATACATATGCATAGTGGGTGTAGGGAGTGTGCCATTGATTAAAATAAACTTAAAAGACATTAACCAAATGCAATATTTGGACTTTTGAGGCTATGAGGAAACAAAACATAGAAGGGGTCTTAGATGATATTAAGTAATCACTGTCACTTGTGTTAGGTATGATGATGACATTGTGGTTGTGCTAAGGTGATGCAGCTGTTAGAGATAAATACCGAAGAATTTACAGGTGACACGATATAATTGCTAGGCTTTGCTTGAAAACACACCAGCAACACCACCACCACAAGGCAGCTGAGGGCTGGCAAAAACAACAGAATACTGATAGTCATGGAAGCTGGGTGCTGGATGCAGGAGAAGTCATTTTACTATCTCTACTTTTGTCATATGTTTGAAAAAATAAAAAAATAAAATTTGAGAAAGATACAAATATCAGACTAACCTAGTCTCTTGAGTAGGCTATGAAAGGGTCTCATGTCAAAAGAAGAAACATTATTTCAACCTCATAGAACCAGAGGATCCTTAAGAAGTCCCTTTAATCCAGCTCATCAACCCTGAGCAGGCCCTTTCACCTATATAACAAATATTTATGAAGTATCTATTTTGTGCCTGGCACAGCAGTAAACAAAACAGATGCACACCCACATGAAGGTTTCAAGTTAGTGGACCACATTTAAGGCATCCAGCCTCTTGAAATCCTTTCTGAATAGGACAAGGAATAGCAAATTAATAATGACAACATACTCATGCAGTGTTCTGCTAAGCACTTTCCATGTATGATCACCTTCAATCCCCATAACAGCCCTATCAGGTAGGTACATAGGTAGGTAGCAGTATCACCTCCCTTTTACATGTAGTTGTAAGTAATTTTAAACGAGGCATAGAGCAGTTAAGTGATTTGCTGAAGGTCATCTACCTAGTTAAGCAGTATAGGTGAGATTTGAACCCAGGCATCTGGCTCAAGAGTTTTCAAGCCCATACTCTAAGCCACCACACTATGAATTCCAAGCCACTCTGGCTGTAGTTAGCTCAATTTAAGTACCAAAAAGATCTGGACAGATCCCACAGGCAAGAGCAACAGGACATTGTTGGCCAGACCAGAAAGTGCTGTTCAACACTTAGCACCAGAATGATGGCACTGAAAGGATGAACACTCCAGGCAAAGGCAAAGTGGCCCATCTTAGCAATTCTGCCAACACTGAGTCAGCAGCAGGGGGGCAGGCAGAGCTGGGATCTCCAGGACAGGTGACCCTTGCTGTCTGACAACAGCAGGCACACAGTTAGCCATGGTGCTGGTTGAACAGAGGCAATGGGCAACACCTTCCTATCCTCCCATCCCATGCAGCATTGAGATGCTCACCTTGCACCTCCACTCTTGATGCAGAGAGGCCTGGGTTAGGCACTTTCTCCATATGTTTAGGTCTCCTCCCCCACAGACTGCCTCCACCAGTTGGTGGAAGCGCCCCTTGACAGTCCCGCATCCCTGCATCTCATCAGGCTCCTATGACCTCAGCCTGGGCACTTTGGGGCCAATCAGTAAGTCAGGGCTCCTTGTAGTGGCCCAGAGCTTCACATACTCCACCTCTGAGATACTGAGGACCATTTCCTTGAATGGATTATGATACGCCCATCAGGTCAATGGCTCCTCCCTTCCTTCCCAAATTTTCAAATGTGGGATCAAAATAGCTCACAAATGATCTCTGCTTAAAACCTGACAAAACTCAAAACTGGGCAGAAGCTACAGTCATCTTCAGGCCCCATGAATCATATGTGTTAAAGCCCAGATGAATTATATGTGTTAAAGCCCAGAAGTCCCTGGGAGGCCTGCCACAACAAAGCTAAGAAAGTCTTCTCTCATCAGCTCCAGAACAGAATCTCAGCTGGAGCTCCTAGGTCTCCAGCACCCCCCTGTCCTTCCCAGGCTCCCTTCGCCCTTCTGTGGGCTCCATGCAGGCAACCTTGGGCCCAAGACTACTTGTCCTAAAAGGAATGGCCTGGCTCCAGTCAGGATTTCTTTTAGATTTTTAAAACTCTAAACAAAGAACTACAATCTGCTTTCTAGCAGTTTCATCAGAGCAGCTTTGGGATAAGTCTCCACCATTCTTTCTATCCACTCTGGGGAACTGCCTTCCATTCTCAGACTTAGCAAGGAGTTAGAACATTAGTTGGTTTCTTTCAGTCATTCAACAAATATGTGCTAAGGACCTGCGGGTACCAAGAACAACTCTGACAAATGAGTGAAATAAAAAGTACAAAACCAAGATTTAGTAACAGCTCTCTACCCCCTAAACAATGCTAAGCACACTTCCATAGCCAGCCAGCCCAAGCACCGAAGGCAGATTCAACATGGAACACATCACCAATGCCTTTGTCGCAAGCAAGAAGCTGCCTCCTACAGCGTTAAGGCAGACAGCCAAGACAGAAAGGGTTTCATTTGAGAAGAAACTAACAATTAGCCAGGATACACACTTAGGATATTCATTAACAAAAAAGCAAATATCCTGGATATTTAACTCCCTAAAGCAGTTTTCCTAACAATTTCCATGTCCAAACTTAACATTGATGGTTCAAGTAAGACTGTAGACCATGGTAAGTAAACAAAGGCATTCACGAAAAAGAATTTTCAAAGTAAAATTATTAAGAATGTATTTAAATTATAATTTTATTAAACATAAGATATATAGATGGCTGTCAAATAATTTAAAGCTAGCCCACATTTTACACTCAAAAATCACATTTTCCTATGATTAAACGTAAGTATGTATCACTTTCTTACCTAAAGACGAAAGAAAAATCTATATTGACCAATCATGGTATATCATGAGACAATTAAATCATTGTTAATAAAAGAAAATCAGTATAGTAAAAAATAGCTTTATCAGTGAGGTCTCTGCAAAAAGTTTATCATTTAAGTCTGTCAGCTGGCTTAATTATCATCCAGCTGGTCACTACATTTATAGCCTTAAAAAATAAGACAACTCAAGTAAAAAAAAAAAAAAAAAAAAGAATCATGCCACAAAGGACAGGAGATCTGAGATCTCACCTCTTTATCTTCTGTCTTTATCTGTCTCCTACCACCACTTCTCAAAGTAAATGTGTTCTTTAGGTACATGGTTGTTTTCCAGTTGCTTGGAGAAAAAGTCTGTCATTGGAGGTGGGCCACAAATATAGAACAAAGTCTCTTTTGAAATGTGATCTCTTATCTCCTTCTCTGTTATTCTTCCTTCTACCAAAAAAACCAGAATAAACACCAAATTAAGCCAGACATGGTTGTATTGGCAGATGAGGACGGACTAACCACAATTCAGCCACAGTGTTTATTTGCTGTAACTCAAGCTCAGTGAGGCTCTTCTTAAGCCATTCGCAGGATGGCTCGTGTTGACATCTGGGGCCAGACCTAAGCAGAGTGTGTCTCCAGGCTTCCTAAACCTAAGCAAGCAAAGTGGGAAGCTCATCGTAATGCACTCTGCAGAAAGGGCCAGCTAGCTTACCTGTCTTTGATAGAGAGACAAAACTGCCTACAGCGAAGGAAGTAAATGTTATATAAAAATCCTTTCAGAGGAAATCATGAGTTGTTTAAATGACCATTAATGGCAAATGGAATCAATTCAGCCAAATCTGGAATATAAATTCTTCATAGGTATACTATAGTAATGATGCAAAGGCCTCTTAAAAAGTGTGAAAAATACACTTTTAACATAGGCAATAGGAAACCTGCATATAATGAGTAAATCCAACTAAATGTCTCTTTATTTTTCCATGATGAATCATCTCAATTCCCCAGATAGTGACATTCCCAGCCAGCAACTTCCAACAATAAGGCATCTATGCTCAACAAACTGGTGTGTTCATCAAATAATTGCACAGAGATAGTCAAAATATCTTTAGGGGACTCACCCGTGATGTACGGCTTGAGTTCTGCACTGATTTGTGTAGTCTGTTTTGTGACATGCAAACTGCATGCAATCTTCTCAGGAAATTCATTTACTAAATCAAGGATATTTTTCTGGAATGTCAAACATATTTGGTCACACTACAATTTTAAAAAATCAAAACAGATGTGCACAACCACTGACGCTGAACCTCAACTCCCATTCTGCACACGTCTGCCACTCCTGCTCTCTACTTAGAGAGATATTGTCTGCAGCCTAGCAGGCCAGAGCATTCAGACTACAGAGGGCTATTTGGCTTTAATTGAAATCTGAATATGCTAACAAGCATATTACCAACTCTCCGGGAGTTTTTTCTTTTTCCTTTTTCTCAAGCATTGGCAATTAAGCAGCAGTTTCACTGACCACAGTTGTGTCTTTTAACTGTTTCTGTTCTTTTGTTCATTCCTGCAGCTGCAAAGCAATCCCCAGTGAAAGCTTTCTCCATCAAATGCACTTAGTTTAAACAGATGCAACTGAGGGTTTCATTTACCCAGCTGGGTCCACACTGTGTAAGTCTTACCTACTCCTGTGATACATCAGTCCACTATAGGTCTCCTGACTGGGATCTCAGGACCCTTGTGACTTTTCTGTTCATCTAACCTCCAGATTCCATCCCACCTAAACCCACCCTTTGCTGTCACTTAACTGGTAGTTTTACTTGTCTTGGGTAAGGTGTGTTGGTTAGTTCTCGTTTGAGCATGATTAAACCTTGCCAAGCCTTTTGTTTGAACCTTTGCAGAGAAAACAGAGCCTAGAGAAAAAAACTTCTGTGAACAATCAATACACAAGTCTGCTTATAGCAAGCTATTCCTCCTTTACCTTAAACAGGAGTTCACTGGTATTTTTTGCACTGTAGAATAGTTTTATTGATCCTATCTCATATCCATGTCCTTTGTTTGCCTGCTCTCTGAGGAGATGTGCTGCATGCCGCAGGATGGAAAGCAGAGGGTTAATTCCGACTCCTCCTGCAATCAACACAAGGTTTCTAGAGGCTTCCGCAGGCTGAGGGTCAAAGAAGAACTCTCCACCCACTCTCACAGCCACTTCAGAGTCGAGTGTACACTAAGGCAGGAAAGAAAAGATCCTTTAGCCTTTTGTAGCACAGGTCTTAAACCAAATGTTCTACTTTAATAAAACTGGATCTACCTCCTGTATTATCAGTATCTAGGATTATTTTTATAGCTTGCTCCCAATTTTCCCAAGGCCCTGTGAATTGATTCCACTTGCTCATTTTATAGGCCATAAGCTAATCCACCTTCGTAATCCATACTGAACAGCCATTCCAATATTGAGAAAAGGAGATGTGCTTCACTGATTTTACCATTTGTTAACTTCTAAGGTGATGAGTTGGATTGAGGAAAGAGGCAATGGACTCAAAGGCAGGGGACAGCTCTGAAGTATGGGTCTCCTTTATCTGAGTTGTACTTCTGTGTTCTGACCAAAGCTGAGAGAAACAGGATGTGGCAAATGTCACTATACTGCCTGCCCGGGTTCATCAAGGCTGAAAAATGTGAGCACTGGGGCTCCCTCTTGAGCCTCAGTAGGACACAGCCAGATCAGCTCTACAGGCTTAGACCAGCCCTGCAGTACCATTCAGTGTTGTTCCCTTCTCCCTAGAGAAACAAGAACAGGCAGCCAGAGGCTTCAGACTATGGAGTATCACATACATCTATCTAGATAAAGCAGCTACCATTTGGTGAGGTCACTTATGCCCACAATGCCATTAGAGTTGAATGTACTGGTTTCTCAGTGGGGGTGCTACTGCTTCTGATGAAGGTGTTTGGGAAACTTGTGATGACATTTTTTATCATCACCATGATTTGGGCACTCCAACTGGCATTTAGAGGGCAGGGTCAGAGACGCTAGAGATCCTACAAAGTTAGTGGTTTCCCAGAATTGGCTCCTACTAAGCTGGTGGTCAAATGTACAGGAATTTTTAAGAAAGTTTCTACTGGTAGTTTGAAATCAGCCATTGTGGGAGTATTTACAATATAGAAATCAGCAAGTGATACAACTCAGGGCTTTTTAAATTTAGATAGCTGGTTTGTCAGCACACCATTATCTACAAAGCACAAGACTGCCCTGTACAATGACTCCCGAATGGTCCAAAAGACATTCTTACAGGTAAAAACTGATTTACAATGATCTGAAACTAGACCCTAACTCATTTTTACAAATAAAGTCAGTAGTCACAATGTAAATTGCACTTTGTTGTGTTCAGGACTTTACCAAGCATGTTCACTGTTCTGGAAAACCACATTCCAGTGACATGTGTCACCCACACAACACACCTTTATCACTACATCTGTAGACAGTGATCCTATGTCCAGGAACAGCCATCCGACTACTTTATTCTGTTTTCCAGTTAGATCTGCCTAGCCATGTACATGTTAAAATACATATTCTTTGACTATGAATCACTTTCTTATACTTATCCTTTGTATTACAGTTAGAGAATTATGTTATTTAAAAAAAAAAATCTATGGGTACATTACATTAACTAGGACTTTTTTTTTTTTTTTTTAATTTCAGGACAGTTCCAGAAAGGGGCATTGGATCTGACAGGGTTGGTAACCCCTTGGTTGGGGTAGGGGGGGAAACACTGATCTAGAAGTAAAAAGACTGAATTTTAATCATGGCCCCTATGAAATCCAGTAAATCCTTTAAATTCTCTGAGCCTCGGCTGCCACCCCTAGAAAATGGGTACCAGCACTTGCACTGCCCACCTCACAGGGTTGGTGTGAACATCAACTGACTCACATGGGGAGAAGCTCACTAGTATCTGGCTCTATATAAGAAGGTATTTTCGTCATTGCAGCTGTCACAAAAGAAAAAGTGCTGGCGATGGCAGCTTCCTTCTTCCCTGTCACTAAAAAACAGACTCCAGGAATAAAGAAATTTATATTAAGAGCATAGGTTTCTCCCATTACATGTTCCCAGCATAAATCAACTAAATGAATGCCCTCCGAAGAAGTAATAACATATCGCATGCTTTTGAGAACCAAACCCTTAGCATTCACACCATGGCACCTTACATGGCAGGTGAGCAGTAAGTGCTTTTTGGACATGAATTTAATATGGGCTCTACAATTTAAAGATGAGTTAAACTTAGAGAATATCTAAGAAAAATGAAAATTATTTGAATTCACAAAACATGTCCTTTTTGGTAAAGAACTGTTAAATGAATGGATACCCTTTCTCTCAGGGGAAAAAAATGTCTGAACCTACCTATTTTAAATATGCAGGAGATTTTTACATGAATGGTGATAAGTGGGTTTTCATTTTTGACAAAAGAAATTAGCAGCAAGGGAGCATTCAGTTAGGAATAACTAAAATCTAGGAACTGCTACAGTGGCTACCAAGGTGCTTTAAAATATTCTTTCAAGTCTCAAAAATAGAATTTAAGATACAAGAGGCTCTGCCTAATGATGACAATGAATTTCATCTCCTATATCGTCCTTCCCTCCCTCTCTTGCTTGCCTGTGCAGTTTTCTCTTTATCTATAAGAATCAGAGTGAAAGGGACTGAAATAATTTTCTCCAATGGCCATCTTTGGCATGCTTAGTAATGACAACAAAAGAGAGCCTCTAAGTTATTGTTTTTAGAAACTGGGGTATTTTCAACTCTAAAGTTGGCAAGAAAATGTGCCCCAGGGAGAGATAATACTCAAGAAGCCTGTCTTATTCTTAATGACAAAATAATCTTCAGTAGATCTATCTTCCAATTTGTTAGCATCTGGAAAGAATCAAAAGCCACCTTTGTCTTTTTGATCAATAAAAACTGCCAGGGTAACATGAACACAAGACTCAATGTACTGTATACTATAATATGTAAGTAAAAGGACATTACCTTCAATTACACAGCAATGTATCTAATTTTGGTATAGATTTTCTACTTGTGAAATAAACAACCTTTCCACAGCAACTGGAGCTAAGCACACAATAGCTGTCTAGAACCCTTTACCCTGCCAAGAGCTTGAGCCAAAGCAGATTTTTAAAAAAAGGAAGACATTTATGGCACTTTATTCCATGTCTCAATGGTGTAGCCTGCTGCCACCCAGACATTCACGTGCCTCCATTGTCCACTCTAATGGCTTAATAAGACAAATCCTCAGGAGGAAAATAGCCACCTGAAAATAGGGTCGAAGAAAAATCTGACTTCATAAAGGCTGTTTGCAACTCCCACTGGGCAGACTAGAGCAGGCACTACAATTAGGATGTACATTCAGGCAACACCACTTTGAGATTTTCTACAGCCTGTAAGAATAAGTTCCTTCACTGAAATGCCAATGAGGCATGAAACCAAGCAGGATGCTGTGGACCAGGACCAGGCCAGGTCGCATGGGAGGCTAAGGATAACAGGGAAGATGGGGAGATGTTCATGGCACTAGGAGCTGGGATGGCTATGCTTATTTCAACTCTGAGCAAGAGGCATGTGGACACCTTGTTGATCTTACCCCAGCAACGTATTTTAGCACCTCTAGGAGCAGCCTAGAGACAGTAATGAGTGGAAAATCCACAGAGAATCCAAAAAGGAATGGGGCAGCTGAGGCCACACTGAAAGAGAGACTCAGGAGGCTGCAGGGTAAAAATGTGACAGCATATATTTACAACGGAAATGCCCACACAGGCATCTGGGGGTTATCCTGGACAGACACAACTTGACGTGTAAACCACAAGAATATATTTTGTTGCTCCTGCAGATTTTTTAAAAATTATTTTTAAAATTCCCTTAACAGACATCTTTTTCTTTTGGTACATGGTTATATGAATTTTAACACACATATAGATCTGGGTATCAACCATCAAAATCAAAACACAGACTAGTTCCATCACCCCCTGAAAATATTCCCCTGTGCTATCCCTTTATGCTCCTGCCTTTCCAGTCACCCCAACCCCAGTCAACCACTGATTTGTTTCATATCTTGTATCTGTCTTCCAGAATGTGAAAAAAATGGGATTATACTGTATGTAACCTTTTGGGACTGTCGTCTTGTACTCAGCAGAATGCCTCTGAGATTTGCTCACAAGGCTGTGTGCATCAATAATTCATCCCTTTAATAGCAGTCCCTTGTATGAATCTATCACAGGTTATCCATTCATCTGCTGAGGGACATCTGGGTTGTTTCTAACAGTTTTTAATAATTATGAGAACGGCTACAAATATTCATGTTATGCTTTTATGTGAGCATAGCCTTCATTTCTCTAAGGCACTCATAAGTGGTATTGCTGGGTCATATGCTAAGTGTATGTTTAACTTTATACAAAACTGCTAATATGCTTTCCAGATTGGCCGTACTATTGTGCATTCCCACTAGCAATATAAGCAATATATGAGAGTTTCAGTTGCTCCACATCCTTGCCAACGCTTGATATTGTCAATATTTTTAATTTTAGACACTGGACTAGGTCTGTAGTGGTATTCCACCACACAGGGTTTTAATTTACATTTCCTTCAGGGTTAATGATGTTTGAACACCTTTTCATTGCTTATTTGCAATGAAAATAAGGATATCCTTTTTTAGTGAAGTGTCTATTCAATCCTTTGCCCATTTAAAAAAAAATGTTACTTGTGTTTTGCTGACTCTTGAGATTTCTTTATATATTCTAGATTCAAATCCTGTGTTAAATATTTTATTTGTAAATATTTTCTCCCACTCTATAGCTTGTTTTTCAGTTGTGTTAAATGTCTTTTGTAGAAGAAGTTTTAATTCTGACCATTTCCTATCATCAACCTTTTCTCTGACGGATCTTGCTTGTGGCACTGTGTTTAAGAACTTTTTACCTACTCTCAAGTTCCAAATATCTCCTGTTTTCTTCTAGAACTTTTACAGTACCATGTTTTATACTTAGATCTACAACCCATTTTGAGTTAATTCTGAATATAAAGTATGAGGTTTAGGTTGAAGGCTTTGTTTTTTGCATATAGATGCAAAATGGTTCCAGAACTATTTGTTGAAAAGGCTATCCTTTCGCCGTTCAACTTTTCCAATGAATCTAGAAACTCTGTCAAAAATAAAATGACTGTATAGGTGTCATTCTATTTCTGAACTCTTTATTCTGTTATATTATTTGATGTGTTTCTCCTTTCACCAATACCATACTGTTTTGAATGCTGTAGTTTAATCTTAAATTTGACTAATGGGATTCTTCTCACTTTATTCTTCTTTTCCAAAATTGTTTTAGCTATCCTAGGTCCTTTTTTGTTCCATATAAATTTTAAAATCACTTTGTCCATATTTATAAAAAAATCCTGTTGAGATTTTGATTAGTGTTATGTTACATCTACATATCAATTTAAGGAAAACTGACTTCTGTACTACGTTGAGTTTTCCAATCTATGAACACAGTACATCTCTCTATTTACTTATGTCTTCTCTGATTTCTTTCATGAGACTAAAATGAACTGTGCTTTTTTTTTGGATCAACTATTTGTAAGAGGGTTCTATACTGGGGGACGGGCCAGAGAGTATCCTCTAAGCTAGCTGGTTTTTCCAACATAAAAGTTCCCTTCAGCCACTACAGAACATATTTAGTTCCTACAAACATGATTTGTCTGTGTCATTTTTCATGTGCCTTCTCTCCTAACTGAATCTTGCTGCGTCCAGGTGGGACTTCTGCAGGCACAAAACTCAACTGTGTTTCCATACCCCCTTTTGCAGGCAATAGCTGTAAGTTCCACCCCACTCCCTCATGTATTTTTGTTGGTGCTCTATGAGATTTGCTACTCTTGGCCTCTCTCCTCTACTTATTTCCATGTGGCTCCTACAGAAACACAGTAATTTTCTGCAACCTTTAAAAATATACTAGAGTGTGTTTCCAAGTTTTGCTGAAATAGAGTTTTTGTTTTCTTTTTCCTTTGTTGATCCCCAATGATTTCCAGGAAACAAGAAAATGCTGCTTTTGAAGGCATATTTGTACTGATATGTGCTTTTGGTAAAGAAAGTAAGAAAATGCCTGGGATGGGATAGAGGTTGTTGGTAAATATAGAAGACACTCTAGTAATGAAGTGGAAGCAAAAGGAAAAGCAGAAGGATAGAAAAGGCAAAAAGTGAAAAGGATAGAAGGGTCAAAAACTAAGACAACATGTAACTCATCTGTTCTGAGCACATTCTTTGTTACCAGAGTTCTAGTAGGTAATGACAGGCAGCTTCTGTAGGATTGTGTTAAGCCCTGTGGTAAAGTATGAGTTATTAACAGCAGTTAAATTGGATTCTCTCTCAGAATCCCAAGTGAAGAGCTTTCCAGAGACCGAAATGGAGAGGCAATGGCACCGTGGATTTAGCTGTGCTCATCTCTGGGAAGAAGCAGTACTATGTAATCAGACAGTCTCCCCTCCAAATGACAGAATAATAATTTAATTCTCTTTATTTAGGACGGTTAGGACAAAATAATCTGATTTATAGATTTACCATTTACATGACACAGAGAGCCAATTTTTTATAACTTGCATAAAATATAAAATATTTTAATTCTAAAGCAGTATTCAACTGAATACTGTTTGGTGACCCAGAAAATATTTCCAGATTCCAAAGTCTCTGACTCATACTTAATGCCTCAGTTTCTTTGATCTTTCTTAGATGCTCTTTGTGGGCATGTATCCTTTTACTCAAGCCCAGTTTCTTAGGTGAATCAAATGACCTTAACACAAATTTTGTGGGTGCCAGAGATTTCCCAGATCATCGATTTTAAACAGGCAGTTTGCTTACCTTATCGTGAACCCAGAGGGCAGGCGGGTGGTTCGTATATTTCACTGCCAATTCTATCATTCTCTCTTGTTCTAGCAGTCTGGGACTGGAGCATATTGAAAACCCACCAACCACAGAGACTCCTGGAATAAAGAAATCAACCCTAAAAGGAAAGCCAAATAAATGATTATTGTTTAAGCAGTTTTAAAAATTGGTAAGTTAAACAAAATTGGCAAACCTTTGCTAGACTATGAAAAAAAGAAAAATTACTAAAATCAAGAAAAGAGGAGACATCATCAAAAAGCTTACAGAAAGAAAAAGAATTATAAAATAATTCCATGAACAACTATATGCCAAAAAAATTAGCTAACTTACATGAAATGCACACATTCTTAAAATGACATAAACTACCAAATCTGACTTAAGAAGAAAGAAAATCTGAGCATACTCATAACAAGTTAAAGGACTGAGTTAATAATTTTAAAACCTCCCACAAAGAAAAGCTCAGGTCCAGGCCAGGCATGGTGGATCATGCCCGTCCCAGCACTTTGGGAGGCCAAGGTAGGTGGATCATCTGAGATCAGGAGTTCGAGACCAGCCTGACCAACATGGCAAAACCCCATCTCTACTAAAAAAAAAAAAAAAAAAAAAATATTAGCCAAGTATGGGGGTGCATGCCTGTAATCCCAGCTATGTGGGAGGCTGAGGCAGGAGAATCACTTGAACCCGGGAGACGTTAAGTTGCAGTGAGCTGAGATTGCACCATTGTACTCTAGCCTGGGCAACAAGAGCGAAACCCCATCTCAAAAACATAAACAAATAAACAAAAGGCAGGCTCAGGTCCAAATGACATCCTGGTAAGTACTAAAAATTAATACCAATCCTCCAAAATATCTTCCAAAAACAGAAAAGAACACTTCCCAACTAATTTTATGAGGCTAGTATTACCCTCATACCAAAGCCAGACAAAGACATCGACAGAAAACTACAGACCAATATCCCTTCTGAATATAGATAGAAAAATTCCAGGAATACAGGATTGGTTTAACATCTGAAAATAAATCAATATAATACACCATTCAATAGACTAAATGACAAAACTAACATAATCATCTCAATAGAGGAAGAAAAGACTTGCCAAAATCTGACACTTTTTCATAACAAAAATAACAGATTTGGAACACTGGGGAACTTTCTCAACCTGATAAAGGGCATCTACAAAAGACCCACAGATAACATGCTACTTAAATGGTGAAAGACTGAAAGTTTCCCCACTAAGAGAAACAAGGATGTCTACTTTCACCACTCCAACTCAACATTGTACTAGAGGTTCTAGCCAAGGTAAGTAAACAAGAAAATGAAATAAAAAGGATTCACAACAGCTAACATCCTACTTAATGGTGAAAGGCTGAAAGTTTCCCTCTAAGATAAATAAGACAAGGATATCTACTTTTACCACTCCAACTCAACACTGTACTAAAGGTTCTAGCCAAGATAAGTAAACAAGAAAATAAAGGGCATTCAGATTGCAGAGGTAGAAGCTGCAGATGGTATGCTGTCATATATAGAAAATACTAAAGTATTCACTAAAAAGATATTAGAACTAATAATTTCTAATAAGTTTGCAGGATGCAAGATCAACAGACAAAAATCAACTGTATTTCTATACACTAGCAATGAACAATCCAAATATGAAATTTAGAAAACCAATTACACTTACAATAGCATAAAAAAGAATAAAATAATTGGGAATAAATTTAACAAAATAAGTGTAAGACTTACACAACAAAAACTACAAAACACCACTGGGAAAAAAAAATTGAAGATCTAAGTAAATAGAAGCAGATCCCAAGTTCATGACATGGAAGACTTAATATTGCTAAGAGGACTATACTCCTCAAATTAATCCACAGATTCAATGCAATACCTACTAAAACTACAGGTGGTTTCACTGTAGAGACTGACAAGTTGATCATAAAATTTTATGGAAATTTGAGGAACCCAGAATCACTAAAACAATCCTGAAAAAGAAGTACACATTTGCAGGACTCACACCTTCTGATTTCAAAAGTTACCAGAAAGTTACAGTAATGAAGACACTGTTGTACTGACATAAGGACAAACATGTAGATCAATGGAAAAGAATGGAATGTCCAGAAATAAAGCCTTAAATTCACGGTGAATTGATTTTTGACAAGGGTGCCAAGCCAATTAAATGGCAAAAGAACAGTCTACTCAACAGTGGTGCTAAGAGAACTGAAAAACCACATAACAAAAGAATGAATTTGGACCCCTATCTCACAACATATACAGAAATTAAGTCAAAATGGAGCAGAGACTTAAATGTAAGAGCTAAAATTATAAACTCTTACAAGAAAACGCAGGAGTAAAACTTCATGGAAATGACTTCTTAGATATGAACCCAAACCTAAAAGGTTCAGAGAAAAAAAATAGAGAAACTAGATTTCATCAATATTAAAAACTTTGTGCTACAAATGTTATCATCAAGAAAGGGAGCAGTGGCTCATGCCTGTACAAATCCCAGCACTTTGGGAGGCCGAGACGGGCGGATTACCTGAGGTCAGAAGTTTGAGACCAGTTTGGCCAACATGGTAAAACCCCGCCTCTACTAAAAATACAAAACTTAGCTGGGCATGATGGCACACGCACCTGTAGTCCCAGTTACTCGGGAGGCTGAGGTGGGAGAATCGCTAGAACCTGGGAGGCACAGGTAGCAGTGAGCCAAGATTGCACCACTGCTCTCCAGCCTGGGCAACAGAATGAGACTCCGTCTCAAAAAAACAAAAAGAAAGAAAGTTTAGAAGACAATCTACAGAATGGGAAAAAATATTTTTAAATAATATATCTATTAATATTAAGGTACTTGTATCCAGATTACAAAAAGAACTCTTACAACTCAGTAATAAAGAGACAACCACATAAAAAATGGGCAAAACACTCTTCATTAACATTTCTTCAAAGAAGATATATAAATGGCTAATAAGCACATGAAGAGATGTTCAACAACAACAGTCATTAGGGCAATGTAAGTCAAAAATCATAATGAGTTACCACTTCATATCCACCTGGATGGCTAGACTCAAAGAGACAAATAGTGTTACAGAAGTCTGGAGAAACTGGAACACTTACACATTGCTGGTGTGAATGTAAAATGGCACAGCCCCTCTAGAAAACAATTTAGTAGTACCTGAAAATGTTAAACAGTTAGCCTATGACCCAACAATTACACACCCAGGTTTTAGACCCAAGATAAGTGAAACTATATGTCCACTCAAAAACTTGTAGATGAATGTTCATGGCAGCATTATTCACAATAGCTCCAAAGTGGAAAACAATCTAAGTGTCCATCAGCTGATGAAGATATAAACACAATGTGGTATATCCAAACAATGGAATGAAGTACTGATATAGGCTACAACACAGATGAACCCTGAAATCATGTTAAGTGAAAGAAGCCAATCACAAAAAGACCACACGGTGTATTATATGATTCCACTGATATAAAATGTCCATAATAGACGAATCCATAGAGACAAAATAGATTAGTGGTCATCTAAGCTGGGCAGGAGGATGGGGAATGAATAATCTTACAAAGTTTCTTTCTGAGATGATAAAAATGTTCTAAATGTGATTGTGTCGCACAACTCTCTTAATGTACTAAAATCTCTGAATTGCACACTTTAAATGTTTGAATTTTATATGAATATATCTCAATCTAACAGTTTTTTCAAGTTTTAAAAAGCATGAAAAAGGGGCAAGAAAAGTAACAAAACTCTCCCACTAGCATTTGGCAAACTTAATAGGCTGATACAGCCTCTGAGTTATGCAAGTTTCGTGTTTCCTTCTTTTCTTCTAACCACATCCTGTAGTCTAGAGCTCCTGGGTTTCAAGCTTTCAATCATTCTATGTCACAGAAACCGTTTTTTGGTGAGGATTCTAGCAATAAACCGAGTCACATACCAAGAAAAATGTATTAGGACATAAAACTACAAAAAATTCTCATCCCCATACCTGGGAAACATAAACATCCAATCTAGGTGTTTCACAGCCATCACGGAACAAAAAATCCCATCATTCCCCAGTTGCCTAGTCACATATAGGCTTAAAAGAAAAGCACAAGATGTTGTCTGATTTGCTCTATGACCTTAAAAAAAAAAATCCTCCTTCAATCTATGGCCTTACATTTCCAGTCATTTATTGTGGTCTTTAATAACCAGTTCTGGATTGGAAGCGCTCCCAGAAAGGTTTTTAGTCAACGTTAACCTATTTTCACTTGACTTTTTTCCATGAATACTTTAACTTTCGTTTCACCTCAGATAAGATAAAAATTTAAAAGACTATCATTAGCACTTGTTAACACAGTTGCTATATGTCGTCACAGAGCAGCTATATAAAATCTCCATTATTTCCATGTTTACAAAATAAATACATTAATGAGCTACTTTTGCTGCTTCATCTCCTGAACTACAGTGCCCTCTGCTGCTCAATGTTGATGAAGACCATTCTTTCAGTTGAATGAAAGGGAACCTTCTTCTCTAGTAACTTTGGAGAAAGGACTCCTTCATTAAAAAAAAAAAAAAAAAAAAAAAAAAAAAAAAAAAAAAAAAAATCATCAAAAAAAAAAAAAAAAAAAAAAACAGGAAAATTTAAATTATATAAAAGCTTCATCTGAATGGATTTAAGAAAATATGCACAATACATATTTCATAAAACATCTGTCCAAGAAAGAACTAAACTTTAAACATGCACCTTTAAAAATGTCCTTTGCAGGATGAGCACTCTTGGACCCATGAGTTAAAGCCCTTACTATATACCCAATAAATGAGTGTATGCAGAAGGAGCCTAAGTGTGCAGTGAAGCAGTGGATGTACACATCCAGCTACGACACACTAGGCAGCTGGGTCCTGCCCACAAAGGGAGCCCAGTGCCAAGCACACAGCAGCTATACTATGAGATCCCAGAACCCTTTAGTCCTTGCTTACAGTTTCCGAGAGCCCCTCGCTCATTCACTTAATGCAAACACCAAAGAGAGTACCCACCTACCATATACAGGCACTATGGTACTTGCTGGAGGTACAAAGATGCACATATGTCTTAGTTCCTGCCCTCAATGAATCCAGTCTAAGAGAAGGAAAATTAACAAATACATACAATTAAATGGGCAATGATAAAATCTGCTTAGCATAGCAGAGGAAGGAATCGATTCTACCAGGAGTAGAGGAATTAAGAAAGACTTCACAGAAGAGATGCCTTTTAAACAGTCTTAAAAGACATACAATGCTCACCAGATAGGCAACGGGGAAGGCCACAGTTTGAAAAAAGATGTCAAGGAATACAGTGCTGTGTACGTGCAGTCCTCTGAGAGTCAGGGCTGCCACACATGGTCGTGGAGGTGGTAAGGAGGTTACCTAGCTGCAGTGTGGCAGCCCTGCTCAAGGGCAGAGGTCAAGTCTTGTTTCTCTAATCTTGCTCCTCTAATGTTTCTTCCTGGTGTCCTCTTTCTCTCAGTAGGGCTCAAAGTTGCTTTCTGGCATCAAAACTTATGTTATCTGGTAGAAAGTCAGACACACTAGGACCAGGAATTCCTTCCACTCCGTGAAAATGCTCTGGCCTTACTTCTCCTCAGGGGGCATGCTCTAGTCAGCCAAGTGTGGACTGAGTACTGACTGGGGCATCAGTGATGACATCGTGGTGATGAGCCCCCACTCCTACTTGGCCTGCTGCCCTTCCAATCAACAGCTAAAGTGCAGGGAAACTGAGCAAGGAGATAAGAACTGGAATATGACCCCTGGGCCTTATCAGTACATAAGATCTAACTGACTGAATGAAATACTAGCAATAACAAAAGCTAAAATCAAAGTTAACATTAGGCATTACGCTAAACACTTTAAATATCCCAAAACATAGTCTATTGCTCCCTCTTTGAAGATATGAGAACTGAAGCCCAGACAAATAAGGAAACTGCCCACATCACAGAGCTGGCTGGTAGAAAGCAAGCATGTGAGCTGAGGAGTCTTCAGGGCACTGGGCGACAATACACTGCTACCCACAGTGGCGCAACCATTGTTGGAGGCAGGCAGTGAGTGCCACAGCCAAACGTGAATCTAAAAACTCAGGGCAGCTGCACACTGTGTGAGCATGCTTCAGACCCAAGAGTGAGTGCCAATCTTTCCACCCCCAGGGAGGAGGAATTCTGATGAAGGGCAGGACTCACTAAGGAGCTGGCAAGTGGCAGGTCTACTAGTAAGATGAACCAAGGTTAGCCCTGCTCATGTGTGAAATGTTTTGAGGTGGCTTCTGTCTTTGACCTTTCTCTCAGGAATGGATTGCTAGAGCTCTGGAGCTGGTTTCCTGCTACGGGTTAGGAACCCATCCTCTCTGCAGGGCCCAGGAAGAACACAGTGTAGTGCAAAAAAGAGCCCCTTCAGGCCTGTATCTCATCTATGCTGAAGGTGTCTACACGGGGATCTGTGGCTAAAGCTCCAGCTAGTCACAGACAACATTCATTGATTTAGCTACAGTTGGGCCTGGAACCTCATTCTCAGAGTTTGGTAGGTGTCAGAGGAAGCCACCGGTCAAAAAATCAGAGATGTGGAATCATGGCCCAATCTCTTATCCCAAAGATAAGCCCAACAGTAACCCTCTCCTTGATTTCTAACAGCTCTCTAGTCTGACAATCCTAACTACACAAACTGCCTGGCAGCCTCATCCTCACTCCTCTCCCTAATCCTTGCCCTCTTCTCCAAAGTGCTACATGGCGGTTACTACCAAGCTGATGACCTGAGAGAGAACCTAGAGCGCAAAGCCATGCTAGTAACAGCACGGAAGGGACAGACACCACCAACCCAAGCAAAATGGCCATTCTGTACCCATAAGGTCACATATCAAAAGGAACTCACAACCCCTAGAACCATAAATCAATGGGAAGGGTGCAATCTGTTGAAAGAGGAGGGCCCAGGGGCCTGGAATGAATGCTGATCAACACCTGGGAGGAAAAGCATCACCACTAACCAGTCAGTGATCCTTTCCCACCAGGTCTGACCTCTGAAGATCTGACAGGCACATATTAAACTCAGGCCTAAATTCAGTGAAATGACCAAAATCCATTCATTGGGATGGTATACATAACACCAACCCCAAATCATTTCATCTTGAGAATCACAGGACTCTATTCTACAACTATCACTAGGGAACGAGGACATTTTCTAATCAGGTAACTGAAGTTTGCGAGTGCATTACACTTGCAGGCACACCACGGTGGCAGCACAATAACCAATGCACAGACTTTTCCTAACCAGGAGGCTGGGTCTGAGTCTTGGCAGGATTCAGGGTTGAAGGCACAGAGACAGTGCTGTGCACATGACACAAACACTTGCACAGAAAGGAAATATGGAAGAACAGATCATTACAATTAAAGTTTCCACTTTTCAATATAATGACTGCTAAACCATTTTTGAAGGGTAAATATGTTGTCCACCCCCTAAAACAGGCAAAATGCATTTAATGTGTATCATCGAACATGTGCAAAGACTGCAGTAAATTGCTTTACAAACGCAAATTATTGCAATCAGCATCTTGTTTTCTAGCTCTAAATTCAAAGGCAAACTATTAACACACAAGACTGCTAACTCTTGTTATTATCACACTTGCTATTATCACACATCCTCCTTCTAACAAAACCACATTTCCAGATGGGCTGCCAAAATTAGTCAAGTGACTCCTAAGAAACACTATCAAGACTGACATGCCAGGAATTCATTTAGAAATGAAATGCTTTATTTAAATAAAGGACACACACACCCAAACACCTTTCCTCGGGAAATTCAAGTTGCTTTCTTTACAACTGAACTTGAACCGAAGCTCGGTGAGGCCCCATTTGAAGAAAAAGGGAGACAGCTGAGCTGTTAACCCAGTCAGCATGCTGATCAGTCCCAAGTCAAAGGGGATAGACTTATGATTTATGTGGAGGTTAAGGGGAGCTGGGTCTGACTGGGGAATCCTGATAAGAAATTAAGCCAAGTATTTTAAATTCAACCCAGGTAAGGTACGTATGATACAGGAATTCAGTCAACAGGGCAGTGCGCCCTGTGATGACGTCACTAGTTCCTTTTCTCTTCAGGATGATTTGTTCACTCTGCATTGGACACAAAGACAACTAATTTTTAAAAAGCAACACATAACTCAAGGAGATTAGATTACTGAAGTGCATTCTGTTAGCAACTGTTCCCAAAGAGCGTAATTATCAGAGCTGTCAGTTCCACTGACCAGAACTAGCTGCTTTGTTTGAATGAGGAAAACTCAAGACAGCAATTTTCATATATGACTGAGGGAGCCACAGGCTCAAAACCCAAGGGCTCTAAGGCCAGGAAAGGAATCAGATCCTCTGTGCCAACAAAGGCTCACCCTGAGCAGACAGGATCTAGAATTCCTCTTCCTCAAGGGAATGGGTAGCCAGAAAAGTCTTTTTCCAGAAGAAAAAATAATCCCTTCTATCTGATGGCACCTTCTTGAATACATACACTTGGAACACAGAAAAGCCACTTACCACTGGCCAGCTTTAAAGGAAAAGTCTTGATCAGCAATAAGCAAGCGGAGGCTCTTCACTGACGGTGACTCACTGGCAGCTCCACACACCTTAGCTGCTGACACAATCTAAAACCAAAAGACGAACTGTGGCTGAGGTTAGTGTATACACAGCACAAGTGACAAATGGTGGTATCCTGGGAAGTAAGGTTTTTGAAATCTACAAAGACGTGGTTTTTGAAAATTGCCAAACAAAGTAAAGCACACTTTGCTTTAGTTCAGCCTACCCCCATATGAATACATTTTAATTAACTTCTTTTTGAAAGACTTGTTATCATACTAATTTAATTTTATCCTGCATTCAAAACTCATATATTAAAGGGATCATTTAACTGGCATTTATTTGATGAGTATCTACAATGAGCTGTGTACTGGGCTAGGCACTCTGCGAAGAGCTCAGGGAATGGAAACTGTAAACAAGCCAGGGTCTTATCAGGGAGCTGCCATTCAATTCTCCATCAGTACTGGGCAAAGTGAGGTCCATTGTTCCTTCTGAGTATGTAAGGAGTCCATGAAGAACTAATTTCAGAAATTAAAAGCAGGCACTTAGAAACTCTAATAATTTCACAGAACAATCTTGTGTCTGTTGAATCTAGTAATAGGAAACAAATTGGGTTTGCACTCTTTATGTCTTTGTTTTTAATCAATTTTTGAATTCATTTATCATACAATGTTTTATAAAATGGAAACAGTTGACAACCTTAACAACAAAAAGGGCTCTTCCCTACAGATTGTTTGAAAAGCACTATTTCACACAATGTATCTGATTTCTAGAAGGCCTTGAATAGGTTTGACTAGGGAGCAATTCAGGAATGTGCCATTCATGGCTCAACGCCCCTCAAATTCAAAGTGTCTCTACTGCCTTTATTCTTTCATCTGCTTTTTGTTTGTCTTTGTCCTATAAGCCTGGGACATCTTCACAAGCAAAGAAAAAAGACAACATGACTCTTACTTCAACCTTCTATGTCTACTCCACTTGGGACAGCAAATCAGCAACTAACCAAAATACAGCCCTGGCCTTGGAAGGTGTGACCTTCACAGCTTTACCAAAGGGTGCTTTGGAAATCTGTCAAGGTCAATGCATGTCCCATCCTAACACGAGCTCACGCAGGCCTTCTACTCCATAGGACTACTAGATCTCATCAAACTATTCGTGGAGACCATTTTCAAAAACCCACTTGATAATTCTCATGATGGATGGTGGTCTCTCTCACCACCTCAAAGTACCTTCTAATATTATCTACCTTTCTCTCCCTCCTACAAAATCCCCAACCTCTTTCTTTCTCCCTATTTTTACCAACCCTCTCTTCCCTCCTCTCCTAAAAATCAAGTGGGATGATTTTCCATTAGTGACCCTCTACCTGCACTCTTGGTCCTAGTCCTGCCTACTCTCTCTGAAACACTGCTCCACCAGCAACCACCAGCCCTTTCCTTCATATTCAATTTTCCTCCCTTTAGAATATTCCTGTTTCATCAAAGATTATATCTAATGCCATTTGCAATCCTAAGCAATTCAGCGACAAAGTAAAGTAAGCAGCAGAATATGGCTGTTGACAGCATGGGCTCTGCAGCTGGACCGCCTGGTATACTTAGTCCTGGCTCTACCATTTACCAGCTGTGTGACTCTGGTCAAGTTACCTAGCCCTCCTCAGCTACAAAATGAGAATAATACCACCTATACCTCATAGGGTTGCTGGAAGGATTAAATGAGATAATACCAATGAAAGCACTTATAACACTGCTGGCCCACAGAACTCATTAAGTGTTGGTTATAATGTACAGTCATGTGCTGTGCTATGACATTTTGGTCAACGACAAAGAACATATACGACGGTGATCCCATAAACTAGATTTGTACTATTCTTCTATGTTTAGATACACAAATATCACTGTGTTACAAACACCTGAAATATTCAGTACAGTAACACGCTTACAGGTCTGTCGCCTAGGAACCATAGGCTATACCATTTAGCCTAAGTGTGTATTAGGCCAGCCCCTTCAGGTTTGTGTAAGTACACTCTATGATGTTTGCACAATGACTATTACCTAATGACACACAATGCTCACCAGATAAGCAATGGGGAAGGCCACAGTTTGAAAAAAGATGTCAAGGAATACAGTGCTGTGTACGTGCAGTCCTCTGAGAGTCAGGGCTGCCACACATGGTCGTGGAGGTGGTAAGGAGGTTACCTAGCTGCAGTGTGGCAGCCCTGCTCAAGGGCAGAGGTCAAGTCTTGTTTCTCTAATCTTGCTCCTCTAATGTTTCTTCCTGGTGTCCTCTCTCTCTCTCTCTCAGTAGGGCTCAAAGCTGCTTTCTAGCATCAGAGCTTATGTCATCTGGTAGAAAGTCAGACACACTAGGACCAGGAATTCCTTCCACTCTGTGAAAATGCTCTGGCCTTACTTCTCCTCAGGAGGCATGCTCTAGTCAGCCAAGTGTGGACTGAGTACTGACTGGGCCATCAGTGATGACATCGTGGTGATGAGCCCCGATTCCTACTTGGCCTGCTGCCCTTCCAATCCACAGCTTCACTGCAGGAAACTGACAGAGGAGATAAGAACTGAAATATGACCCCTGGGCCTTATCAGCACATATGATCTAACTGATTAAGCATTAAGCAACACATGATTGCATTTATTGTATTAACTACAATTGATTGTTTACATTATATATTACACTTTATTTATAAATATATATACCACCATTCTAATGTTTTTGCACTGGGACCTCAAAGACTGAGCACTGAAGACCTCAGAGAGACTGCTCACATGGACAACAAGAAACTGTACAGTGTGGTGGGTTTGTACATATTTGTACCAGTGCAAACTTAAAAGTCAAACTGTCTTGAATATATTTTAGAAATCTCGCCTTTTGTCCCTTCCTCTACTGAGGCAATGAGCTCCTCCTTAGCCCACAGAATCTTTCCTTTTTTCCTTGATGCTCTCCTTGACCACATGTAACCTAGCTTCTGCTCTCCTGAAACTTCTCCTTTGACAGTTGGTTGGGGTCTTTCTGAACAGCCAAACTCAGTGTCCAGTCTCAGTTCTCACCCTCCCTGACCTCTCTTAACTTGGTACTTTCCACCCTGACTCCTTCTCCTTGTCTGGGACAGCTGACATTGAACTTTTCAAGTCCCCTCCCATTATCGCTGACCTGGGCTTTCTCCTTTACCCTTCCTTCTCTCACTTCTTCCGTAGGAGCTTTCCCTAAACTGCCTCACTCCTACTCCCTCTCCCACTCCAGGTTGAGGCCCTCAAGGACACATAGGCTACTACTCTCCTCCCACCCTCTGCTTACAACTCATCAATACTTTTCTGCCAATCACAAGCTGACATCCACACTCCCCATAAGTAACAACAACCAATGCCTGAGGAGCATTTATCTCAGATATATACCAGATGCTACGTTAAATATTTTATGTGTGTGCATTCATTCATTCAGTTGATAAGGAATAATCATATTATATCCCAAGAGATAGTGTTATCCTTCATCTTGCAGATGAGGAAACCAAAAGATTCAGTTACTTGCTCAAGATCACTGAGCTAGGAATTGCCAAGTCAGGATTCAAATCCAGGTTAGCTTGATCCTCCCTAAATCATCTGATGGTTCTGTCCCAGTGGTAAACTCACTTATGCCATTCAACGAAATTCACCAAATTCATTCCTTCCACGAACACTTGAGCATGGTGTCAGAAACTGCGGAACAGGGTATGCAGAGACAGAGAAGGCTGCACATGCCCTCAAAGAACCTTGCAAAACCAGCTTCTTTCCATTACCAGATATTCAATTCCGGATGCAGGTTGGACTCAACAAATTCAATTACATTTTCGGTTGATACACAAAAACACAAACTTTGATTCTTTCTGGTATACTATCCCTAATACAGCCAAATTCCATAAATTTGGCTCATGTTTTTTCATTCCCTTCCCTACCTGCCATCTCCCTGAGCTGAAAATTTCTTTCTTCTCACTTGAACTACTACTTTGGTCTCTTCCTTGTGTCTCTCAAAGCAGCCAAGGCAAATATTCCTAATTTCCAACCTTACTGAGTTACTCCCCAGCTGAAAAGCCTTAAGTGGCTCTCTACTACTGAAATACCAAAAAAAAAAAAAAAAAGCTAAAAGTTCTGTTTAACTTACACCAACTTGGGACTCCTCCTGGATCACTGTGCTCGTGGTTTTTCAGCCACATTAGACAACCTGCTGGTCCTCAAAGGTACCTAACACTTGCCCATTCCCCCAAACTCTGCCGAGGTCATTCAGCATGAGCCACGCTGTCTACCAACCTTCTGCTCACCCTTCTAGGCCCTGCTCAAGTAACATCCCCTGCCTGAGATCTACCTTCTTCTCTTCATACTCTCAACTCTATCAATATGTTTTTGCCTTTCTGACCACATTCCGCACGTTATTAGTCAACTCGTTGCATGAAGCACAGAAACCAACACTTAGTAAGGCTCAGTAAGTATTTGCAGAATGAATAAAAACTTGAACCTAAGGTCATTTAAAATTGTTTTCCAGAAGAAAGACTGGTAGAAACTTGGGAGCATGTTTTTTAAGCTGTGTGCGTAGGGGAAGAGAACACTACAGAAAATCCCCATACGTGTTCATAAGTATGGCAGAGGTCAGGGAGAGCAGAGGTTTATTTAGCAGAATTGTTATTTTCTTTTGTTTGCCACACATTCTTTTTAAAATATCTTATTACAAAGACAAATAATGAGAATCATCAGAGGTCTCTCTTACTTCGTTTTCCCCCTTTTATTACATTTACAGAAGTATTTTGGGAGGCTGAGGCAGGCGGATAGCTTGAGCCCAGGAGTCTGAGACCATCCTGGACAACACAGCAAAACAAAACCCTACACCTCTACAAAAAAAAATAAAAGAAAATTTACAAAAATTAGCCAGGCATGGTGGCACACACCTGTACTCCCAGCTACTTGGAAGGCTGAGGAGGGAAGACCATATGAGCCTGGATGTCAAGACTGCAGTGAGCCAAGGTGGTGGCACTGCACTCCAGCCTGGGCAACAGAGTGAGACCCTGTCTCAAGAAAGAAAAAAAAAAAAAAGAAAGAAA